TGTTGTATACCTCCTGTACCTCAGCGTGGCTGTAAGTTTGTGCTTGCTGTACACCTCTTGTATCTCAGCGTGGCTGTAAGTTTGTACTTGTTGTACACCTCTTGTACGTCAGCATGGCTGTAAGTTTGTACTTGTTGTATACCTCCTGTACCTCAGCATGGCTGTAAGTTTGTGATTGTTGTACACCTCTTGTACGTCAGCGTGTAAGTTTATCCACCACGTACACCTTGGCATGATCGTTAGCTTGTTGTGTGCCACTTGTACGTTGGCATAGCTCTAACAATCATGTCATTTCACGGTTTTGTTTCCAGCTTTAGAGTTATTTTGAATTTTCAAGGTCTCAAAATGGTGGTAAATAAAGTGTATCAACAAACAATTTTATATGCAAATCATTGAGGTTTTATTTGTAGATTCTAAGTTTTTGCTCTTTTTTTCTCTGGCCCCCAGAGAACCGCCCAGGGCTGGGCTGCCGGGAGCTCGTCTTCAGGAACCTCTCCAAAATCCTGCCAGGCCTCTGCCAGGATCTGACTGACTGGGTGGTGGGCACCCGGGTCAAAGCTGCCCAGCTGCTCGCCGTGCTGTTGCTGCACGCGGAGGACCACACCACACAGCACCTGGAGCTGGTCCTCCGGGCCCTTCAGCACGCCTGTGCCGACGAGGAGGCCGCCGTGGTCAGCAGCGTAAGTCCCGGGTCATGAATTCACCCTCCTCAGGCACTTTGGTGAATTGCCACACCTGCGGTCACATGGTCCACACCACAGTTAAGACCACAAATATCCCTGTCACCCCCAGAATTCCCCTTGAATCTGTTTATGCTCAACCCTCCTCCAGCCCTTGGCAACCGCTGGTCTGTTTTCTCTGCCTGTAGATAGTACTAGCATTTCCGAGGCTTCTCTTTAGGGAGTCCTGCTCACCTTTCTGTGTAAAAACAGTGCTGTTGCAGTGCCTTGTCCCTGGACTCACCTGGAGGGACCAGGGATGCTACTGCTTGTCTCACCCCTGGGGGACCTGAGGGACTCAGGAGCTTGTTCAGCATCCCCTGCCCAGGACTGAGTGTCCATCCAGGCCCCAGCCAGCCCCGTCTTCATGCCCTTCCCTGCTTCCCCTGCACACGCATCTCTTTCTCTCTGGTCAGTGGCTGGTCTGAGCTAGAATACTTAGGGACTAGGATACACCAGCCTGTCAGGCTGTGTAGGCTCATGCCGTACCTAGGGGGTGGCCACCACCTTTCCCTACAGGTTGGATGATGGGACAGTTACGGGGCCTGCATGGATCAGGGTAAAGCCTCCGTGGACTTGAGACACCCTCTCATGATCATGGTGCAGAGGCATGCTCACGCTCACACCCGCTGTGATAGTGCACAGGGCACACCCACACTCATACTCACCCGACCGGAAGTGCATCCTGCTGCCTCATCAGAGCCAGCACTCGGAGGGAGACAGTAAAGCTGTGACTTCTTAGTGAACAAGTAGGTCTTAGGCTTGAATGTTGTCTTAGTCCTAAATCTTTAATTCTGTCATACTGAATCCTTGCTTTATTTTTCACTGTTCTAAGTCATTTTTGGAGGCCTGTTATGGCACTGTGGGTTAATGCGCTGGACTGCAAGGTCAATGTGAACCGCATGATCGGCGGTTCAAAGCCACCATCTGCTCCTCAGAAACCCTATACAGGGTTGCTCTGGGCTGGAACTGACTCGACAGCCCTTGACAGCAATACCAAGTCATTTTTTACTGGTTTAAAGGAAGTTTTTCAGGTTCCAGATTTCAAAAACAAGTCACTTTTAACCCATTATTTCCAGGATGTGGAACTGTAGGATCATCACTGGACTACAAACCCCAAGGTCAGCAGTTCAAACCCACCAGCTGCTCCTCAGAAATTCTATGAGTCAGAATTGACTCTACAACACTAAACAACAACCCTTGTTTTGTTTTTAAAGGAAATACAGCACTAACTTTTCAGTAGCTATTTTTCCACGAGCATTTTTTTATACATCATTCTCATCTCATACAAGACTTTTGAACTTCTGTTTTCCCCATAGAAAAAGTTTAATTTATACAGTCATTTATTTCATGGAGCCAGCCTAATTTTACAAAGATCATGTAGTAATAAGCATCAAACAATGTTCCACTAAATTGTCTAGTTTAATGAAAAGTTTAAAAGTTTTTAGCTATGTACACTACTCTTTGGAGAGAGGATGCTTTCTAGAGCCCAAGATACAACATGACAATCTTAACGTAAGATTGCTAGGCATGAGGGCAGATGTGAGCCCCAAAAAATGAAGTGCAGAATGCGTGTTTGAAGTTTTCTGGAGAAACATCCCATAGATTATAGAGTATTTCACTGAAAAATAATCAGAACTGTTGTCCTAGGACACTCCACAGACACCGGTGGTTCTCCGCATATTCCCAGTGGCCACTGCAGCTGTGTCCTCAGTCCGTCCCCACCACACCTCCTGAGCTCTAACAGCAGCCCGCACTGACTTGTCCTCCATTTCTGTAGTTATGTCGTTGCACGAATGCTGTGTCTGTACACTCACCCTGGAGGTGGTGACTTCACTCACACAATACCCAGGAAGCCATGTTGGGTGTTTGTGCATCAGTGAGCCCACTGTTTCTTTGCTGAGTAGTGAGTGTTCTCTGACATGGAGAACCGTACCATGTCTGACCATCTGTTTAGGTCTTTTAGTATCAGATGAGGGGACCAGGTAAGAAATCCACTGGACCTTGGCCTCACAGGGGCTCAATCTACTTGGCTACCCACATCGACGTCTTACTTGTTAGCTTTCCTCCTATGGATGTTGTGAAAGATTGTGAGGAAGTGTGCATTTTCCCTGTGTGTTCTGAGCACACCCTGAGAATTTTATTTAACAGAGACTGTGTCTGGCAGGGAGAAAGGCCTGAAGGGAGGCAGTGAGGGGAGAAGCGTGCCTGGGTCTTGGGGTCTGGGTCACCAGAGCCCCAGGAAGGGCCTTCACTCTCTCCACTCTCCTCTTGCAGTGCACAAAGTCGGCAGAGCTCATCGGAACCTTTGTCAGCCCAGAAGTGTTTCTGAAGTTTACCTTATCGCCATTGAGGAAGTCACCCTCAGCCTCCAGCCTGCGGGTCCTGGCCGCGGTCCTCCGGGGCTGCCCACGAGAAGCCCTGCAGCCCCACCTCAGTGCCGTTGCTATGGAGCTGGCCAAGGCCCACATCTGCCAGGCATCTGAGAATGTAAGATTTGGGGGGACAGGGAGTGGTCTGAACAGTGACGTGTTAGAAATGGCATTGTCCCTGCTGTACCAAAAACCAAACCCACTGCCTTGAGTGGGATCCAACTGACGACAACCCCGTAGGACCGAGCAGAACTGCCCCATAGGGTTTTCAAGTCTGTAAGTTTTTACGGAAGCAGATGCTACGTCTTTCTCCCTTGGAGCGGCTGGTGGTTTTGAATCACTGACCTTTCACTGAGTAGCCATATGCAGGTGTTTAAACACAGTGGCACCAGGGCCCTTAGCTCCCTGCTATAGATTGATTGGCAGTCACCAATCAATCTTAGTTCCAGATCCCACCCACGCTAGGCCAGTGGTTACAGACAAGCTGGAGACAGAGGCCCCGGGCACTCCGCTGCTGCATTTGGTGGCCATGTGCCTCCTGTTAGCCTCCTGCTCTGTCCAGGCTGGGAGCCCCCACCCCGGTTGCTGTTGAATTTAAAATTCAGCTCCACAGTCACACTAGCTACATTTCATTCTCTCAGTAGCCATGCATGAAAAGGCCAGATCTAGACCATCCATCATTATAGAAGCATTTTGAACCACAGCCCACAGATGAGACCATGCCTTACAGCTTAGCACTGTCCCCAGGGTCAGGTCAGCAGCGTGACCAGGGCCGAGGCCTGTCTCCTCCCACAGGTGGAGCAGAGAGTTCGCTGTGTAACTGATACTTGCCGCCTCACTTGGTGTCCTAAGCACACACTTACAGAAAGCAGCGTCAGTACTGGAATCTGTGTTTCTAATGAGCAGCAAACCCATCACTCTGAAGCTGAGATAACCTAGGTGGGAAGGGTTGCTCACTTGGCATCCCTTATAATTGCTTTCTGCTTTCTTGTTACCTGGCTATAATCAGCTTAAACACTGAGTGTTTACTTGCTGGACGATGGGCCCTGTGTGTCAGGGGAAATTGATATGTACCAGCCTGAGATTTTTGTTTGTCTTTGATTTTATTGTGATGAGATCTATAAAGAGCTCTGCCACTGTAACTGTCAACAAGTGAACTGTGCCATGGGGTTCATTCCATTCACCACTCTGTGCAGGTGTCACTGTTATCTGTCTTCTGAGTTAGGGTTCACCCGCAAAGCAGAAGCTACACCCCTTATACATAGCTCCCTGCACCCCTGCTGGATCCAGGCAACCACGTACCCACCATGATAGTGCACGGGCACGCCCACACCCCCTGTGATAGTGCATGGGGCACACCCACACCCCCTGTTGTAGTGCACAGGCATGCCCACACCCACAGTGATAGTGCATGTGTGAACACTGCTGCTGTGATCATGGGTGTCCAGAAGAACTCACAGATGCTGCCACTTTATTTCCAGAACCCTACAATCAAAGATCATAATGAATCAAGTCACACAGATGTTAGGGTTTCCCCTGCCTAGAGTTGTTAGTTATGTATACACTATAGTCTGTTCAGTATACAGTAGCATTCAGAAAGGGTTTGAAATGTTGTGAGAATTTACCAAGATGAGATACAAGACAGGAAGTGAGCTCAGGCTGTTGTAAAAATGGTGTTGACAGACTTGCTCAACACAGGATTGTCACAAACCTTCCATTTGTAAGAATCTGGAAGCACAGTAAAGCCAAGTAACGGGGGGTACCACTGTGCAGATGAGGTACTTGTGGTCTACTTTGGGGTTGAACAGCTTGCCAGTAATGCAAATGAGGTGTGTGGTACCCTTGTGGGGATGGGGCCATGCAAATAAGGTATATGGAACCCTAACCAAAGACATTAGTCAGTTTTGCCATCCTGCTAGGCTTAAGATGAGCCATCTTACAAAGGGGAACCTCATAACTCCCAAGCAGAAGAGGCAGGGTCTCTTCACTGAGAAGGTTGTAGACCCAGGATCAAGAGCCCTTAACAGTAAAGCCAACAGCAGCAGCAGAGACAGAACCAGGAAACCCAAAGGAAACAGTGCCGAGGGCTTCCAGACCCACAGAGTGAGAAAGTGAGCACTTTTTCAGGTAGGAGGCTTGCTGGCAGAGCAGGGCTCCTCTGGACACCTCTGTCCAAGCAGGACAGAGCCCGGGCCGGGCCAGGCCAAGAAGTCTGCACAGCCATGAAGTTGCCCTGGTCCCATACTATCCTGATGAATCTTAGCCTGTTAATTTCCTAATCAACCCCATAATCACAAGTATGGGTTGTGAGTTGTGTGTGGACAGCATGAGAAATTATCACACTCAGCAGCGAAGTAGAGAGTACCATGGGAGGGAGGGAGGGCTACGGTCAGAACTGGTAGGAAGGTGGAGAGTGGAGGCTTGTCTGAGCTCTACCTCCTGAGAACCGCCTGTGGGCTGCTGATGCTGGACCTTTCCCCCTTGTGAAGTTAGAGGAGGAGGTCAGGCACATCAGCAATCCTGTGTGTAGCACGCACGTTCTCAGAGCCTGTTGAGTCTGTCTCTAAAACCCAGAGGAAGGAAGTGGGCTCATGCCGTGGGCCTTGCTGTTTTCAACCCTGTCTCCACTTTGTCCGAACCAGTTTCCATCCAGAGAGTGGGGAGTCTTAACTCACGAGAGGTGTGGACACTGGTTTGCTGCCAGCAACTGTTTGCCGGAAGCAGTTTTTATTTCTTCCCTGGAAGCCAAGATGGCCAGACTTCATCACTCATACTTTGGAAATATTGTCAGGAGGGACCAGTCTCTGGAGAAAGGACATCATCATGTTTGTTAAAGTGGAGGGTTAGCGAAAAAGAGGAAGACTCTCCCCCCAATGACATGGATTGGCACAGTGGCAGCAGCAGTGGGCTTAAACACAGCAACAATTGTGAGGGTGGCTCAGAACCAGGCAGTGTTTCATTCTACTGTGAATAGGGTCACTATGAATTGGTACTGACTCGATGGCACCTAACAACAAGAGGATGTAATTTGGAACTTTGGTGTTTAAATCTTAGAAACTTTGCAACAAGGAAAATGGGAGTTTTACATCTTAAGGGTGGTTGCAGAGAAAATGTAACCATGTAATCTGCCAAGCTCAGTATATGTGTCTAGCCCCTCATCTTACAGTTTTGTCAGGCATAAACCTAGACATAGGGACAGCTTTCATACAACGTCCCCTTGGTGAAGCCAGCAGGTAAACGCTTTCTGACCTCCGTCCATGCCCAGAAACCAGCAAAATAAGAACCCAGTGCACGCTTTACACCTTTTACATGTTTGTTGACAGACTTATACCTTGGGCAAGAAGCGATGGGCTCAAAGACGGCTCTGTCTCTGAGACGCACACAGCCAGCCGTCTCTCACTCAAGTTTGTGTAACAACATTTAGGAAGTTATTTCTAAGTCCCGCAGTTATTACTCAATAGGTCTTAAAAACAGTGAAGACCTTTTGCAAGAACAGAGAGAGACTAGAAGTTCATTCGTGCAGTAAGACTCAGGCTTGCGGGCAGATGTGTCGTAAGCAGTGGCTCCACTCTGAAATGCTCCTTTGTTACTGTGGAAGAAGGTACTTCCCCAGGTGTGGCGAGCCGAGAGTTGCACCTGGCACTTTGCCGACAGAACTCTATCCCCTCTGTGACACGTGTTTGTTTAGTGACAGGTGACTGAAATACAGAAATTGTTTGATAACAAGGATCGCTCAGTTAGGCATGTTGAAATGAAGGAAAATGGTAGTTGGGTGCTTCTTTGTAAGGACTAAAGTCTAACAGTCTCCAGCACTTCATCTGGTGAATGGAAGTCTTTGCAGCTTCAGGTAACAGCTTGTATATTGAGCCTCATTTCCTGCTGGGTCTTTTTTCCGTATGTGTATTCCTAGTTTTCTCACAGAACAAATGTTACGGTCTGGGTATCTCCTCAAAGACACCCCCACCTTCATGGTCCCAGGCTTGATCATGGAAGGACACAGCAGAGGCTCTGTGAGGCTCACGCCTTCTCAAAGTGAACTCTTTTTCAGTGTAATTGTAGGTCCATCTGGAAATTAGTGGAGATCATGACCTCAGAAACCAGTCCACCCAGATGTAAAAGAAGCGGGCTTTGGGAAAAGTCAGGGCATGAACCAGAACACAGACCTGTGGTCTCTCCCAGGAATTAGGACACCCAGTTCTTGGGGGAGGGTCCATGCCGTCCCCCAGGCAGCCCTAAAGGGCCCTGCAGCATGGGGTCCCCGTGGTTTAGGGAAGGTGGGGTCTCAGTGACCCAGCAGGTGTGCTCAGACGCCCTGGTTCCCATCCCGTCCCATGCCACCAAGTCAGTTCTGACTCATAGCAACTCTGTATAGGGTTTCTGAGGAGCAGCTGGTGGGTTTAAACCACCGACCTTGTAGTTTGAAGCCCAGTGCTGACCCTACAAAGTCACATAGTGGCCGTGATCTTCACTAATTTCCAAACGGACCTATAATTACACTGAAAAGGAGTTCACTTTGAGAAGGCTTGAGCCACGCAGAGCAGAGCCTCTACCGTGTCGTTCCACAGTGTGGCGCTGTAGAACCAGCACTAGACTGTTGCAACATCTGTTTGAACTGCAGGGTCAGCAGTTCAAACCCACCAGTCTTTCTTTGGAAACCCTATACAGGGTCTCCTCTCATCTTCGCTTTAGAGAAACTGTTGACTTTGGGTCGCACGTGATATTTTTTAACTTCCACTTTTTAACGTATATATTTTTCACTTTGTGCATGTGCAGAATGGGGAGCTGAGGCATTTAAAGCAGATCGCAAATCTGAAATACTGTCATTTCTCTTGTAAATGCTGTGATCTGATGGCACGGTGAGTTATGTGTGGGACAACTGGTTTTGAGGTCGATGGTTCAAACCCACCAGCTGCTCCAGGGGAGAACAAGTCTCGGAAAGCCTCGGGAGCAGCGTTCCTCCTACAGGGCTGCTCTGAGTCAGCATATACTCCAGCAGACAGGTTCGGGTTTCTAGCTGAGTGAGCACTGGGCAGCGAGTAAAGTGAACACCAAGCCCTTAGTGCCCAGGTCCCACTCAGCACAGTGCAGCCCCAGTCGGCGGCCAGCACTGTGGGGTCTGTGGTCCAGGCTGTGTCTGCACTGACTCTGCCCTTGTCTCTGCAGAAGCTGTACCTGGAACACCTGCTACTCTGTGTGCAGGCCCTGATGGCTGGGGGCCAGGAGGACTGCTCCACATGCAGCCTGCCCCTCCTGCAAGTGCTGCTGGCCATCCTGGCCATCTCAGGCACCGCAGACCTGGACAGGAAGGTGAGGCAGTTCGGGGACCTGTTGGTGAAACTTGCTCATTGCCCTTGGCTTCCCAGCCTCCGACTCACCCGCCTTGGGCTGCCTAGGAGGAGGTGGATGTTTGATGAGGAACCCTCTGTGACCTGGGGACTCACCAAGTCTTAGCTCTTCTCCAGCTGCTGATTTATTGAGGATCTCAGAGTTGAGACAGCTGTTTAACTTTGAAGTCTTCTGCAAAGAAAGCAAAGAGAGCGAGACGAGCAGCTTCAGCCTAAAGTCTGCGCACTGTCGCATAGCGCCCCGAGCACGGCACCAGTCAGGAAGAGCTCAGCATCATTTCCTAAGATTGTTTCTGATGCACTGGCGCTCTGTGTTCCCTGTGGGCTCCAAGGACATCCAGAACCCCGCTGCCTCATTGCCTCACCTGGAACTCAGGGCACGGGTCCCTTTCTCTTTCCTAATGGCCCCGGCTGCTCCTTCACTGCTCCCCTGCCCCCAGAGCAAAAGGGGAGGCATTTCTGTGAGCTGCCTGGGGCCCACAGTGCTTCCCACCCAAATATTCTGCGAAGGAATCTCACTCCCCCTCCCTTCTCAGAGACTGTTTAGACTTTATTTCTGTCTTAAAGAATAGCCTTTCCACAGGGCATCTGTCTCAGGGGACAGTTTGTCGCCAGCAGGGCCATAAATACCAGCCAGTGCTGGAAACACACTGGGCCCAAGGCTGCAGAGAAGATTACAGACCACTCTGAGGTAAACCTGGCCCTCTGAGTGAATACTGGCAGAGCTGAGCTGAGCCGAGGGGACAGGTTTCTAACCTCTTCTCTTCATTAACAGGCGTCTTGGTCGGGTCTGTGTGTGTCAGTGGGAACCTTGCGCTCATCCTCTAGGAGCCCCGCTCTGGAGGGCTGGCGGGAGTGGGATTCAGCATCATGGTCTCATGTCCCCAATGGCGCCTGCGGCAACTTCCACACTGCCCAGGTGGTCCTGAATCCCCCTTTCCTTCTAGGTGCACGAGACAGTGGGCTCGCTGGCCGAGTTGGAGGGCTCCGATGGGCCCCAGGATATCTACCGGAAGCACATGGCTGCATTGATGGAGTGGGTGATGGCCTCACATGGCAACTGGACTGTGTACTCCCCGGAGCTCGCGCAGTTTTGCGTGCTCGTCTCTCAGACAGGTAGGCCAGCCAGGTGCTCCGACGTGGGTGTGAGGGAAGAACAGTGGGCGTCGAGAGAGCTGTCCAGTTGACTATAACTCATGGTATCCCATGTGTGTCAGTAGATTTTCGGTGGGCCAGCCTTTCTGCTGAGGCCAGCCAAGCACATGACCATTTGCACCACCTGGCCACTCCTTAGCTAACTTCTCCCTAAAGAGAAGCAATCCAAGCACACCTTGTTCTGTGCGCCTCACTGAGCCTGTGTTGTTAGAGACGGGAGGTCAGGAGTCACCCCACAATCCAAGTGCGTCTTGTTCTGTGCACCTCACAGAGCCTGTGTAGTTAGAGACGGGAGGTCGGAGGTCACCCCGCACTGAGCCAGTCCAACAGTGCTGCTTTTCCAACAGTGTGTGCTCACTTGGTGTCTCTGTGTCCCATTGTGGTCCTTGTCACGGTATTTCCACCTTTTTCATCATGCTGTGGCACCTGGAACAGACAACACTCTGGCATCACAGGACTCACATGCCTTGGACTCCACAAATTGCGTGTGGCCTGGTCCTCTGCGCTATCTGGGACCGAGTGTGCCTGTGGTCACTTTGATGCTTGAGTGTAACCAACATTTGAAGGAACAAGCGCTTTCCAAGGTGCCCAGACCGACTTCAGAAGAATGGTTCTCTACCATCCGGCTCCTGCACATGCTTAGGTCTCACCTTGGAGATGGATTTCTCCCACCCAGCCTCTTACAGACACGTCTAACCACCCTGACATGTGCAGAGATAGTCACAGCCCAGCCCCTCTCCTTCGGCATCCTGCTCAAGCCTACAGCCCTAAGACGCAGCATGTGGCTTCATAATGCTCCGGCTCCAGCCGTAGAGCACAAACTTGAAAACTTGTCCACGAAAGAAGTCAGAGCCGCCACAGTATCCTGTGCTTTCCAGGGTGTGCCGTGAACTCATCAAGTTAATTCTTCCTCTGTTTTCTTTAAAGAGGCAGTTTTATTTATTATTCTTTCTTTCAGAGACACATAACAACACTGTCGTCTCCAGAAGGTTTTCTCAACTTGCCATCATTTCTGGTTTGGGCCAGATAATTGTTGTATGAGTTGGGCTGCTAACCAGAAGGTCAGCAGTTCGAATCCAGCAACCCCTCCTCAGGAGAAAGATGAGGTGGTCTACTTCCAGCACGACCACAGCCTCGGAAAACCGTGTGGAGTGAGCAGTTCTCCTCTAGCCTACAGGGTTGCTCTGGCTCAGAGGTGACTGGATAGCTGAGGTTGGGGATTTGTGCACTGTAGGATTTTAGCAACATCCCTGACCTCTAAATACTAGATGCCAGCATCCTCCCACCTCTAAGTATTGACACAAAATGACTCCAGACACTACCGAATGCCCCTTTGTGGGCAAAAACCAGGTTGAGAATTAAAACTGCGTCTATACAGTGGCTGTGGCTGCAACAGTGAACTCAAACAGGAAAAACTGGGGGATGCTGGACCAGGCAGTGTTCCATTCTGTTTTCACAGGGTCGCTTTGAGTTGGAACCAACTCCATGGCACCCAATATGTATGAAGTCCTGGTGTACTGCTATAGCATAAGCACTGGCCTGCTAACTGCGAGGCTGACTGTTCAAACCCACCAGTTGCATCTCAGAAACCTTTTACAGGGTCACTATGAGTTGGAACTGACTCAACAGCACTTAAGAACAACATATGTATACAACTCTGTTGTGGCAGTCGTCGTTAAGTGCCACCAAGTGATTCTGACTCAGCGACCCTGTATAGGGTTTCTGAGGAGCCGTTGGTGGGTTTGAACCACTGACCTTGTGGTTCTCAGTCCACTGCTGATCCACACCAGGAGTCCGTAGAATAATATTTACGGATCTGTAAGATATACATATAATCTTGCAATTCAACCTGACCTTGTATTGTGGTCCAGCGCTTATTCTACAACGCCACACCAGAACTCTATGTATACTGTATGTGTGTGTGTAGATATGTATACATGGTGTGGCACTGTGGATTAATGTGCTGGATGGCAAGGTGAGTTTGAGCCTCAAGGTCAGTAGTTCAGGCTCACCAGCCACTCCTTGGAAATCCTATACAAGGTTGCTATGGGTCAGAACCAACTCGACAGCACTCAGCAACAACAATGTATATCATTGGAGTCCTGGTGTGGCACTGTGGGTTAATGCTCTGGACTATACAGTCGGTTTGAACAGCAGGGTCAGCAGTTCAAACTCACCAGCTGCTCCTTGGAAACCCTATATAGGGTCACTGTGGGTCGGAACCAACTCGATAACACTCAATAACAACAATATATATCTTTGGAGTCCTGATGTGGCATTGTGGGTTAATGCACTGGACTACAAAGTCAATTTGAACCGCAAGGTCAGCAGTTCAAGCTCACCAGCCACTCCTCGGAAACCCTATATAGGGTCTCCATGGGTAAGAACCAACTCGAAGGCACTCAACAACAGCAACAACAACATATACGTCTTTATATATTGTGGTGGTTCCATAAGATAAGCACTGGACTTCAAACCACAAGGTCTGTGGGTCGATCCCACCAATAAGCAACTCCATAGGGGAAAGATGAGGCTTTCTGCTCCTGTGAAAATTTAAAACGTCTGAAACCCTATACAGGGCTGCTGTGAGTCAAAACCAACTTGATGGAATTTAACAACAATAGATGGAGACAGAGACAGAGAGACACATAATTTTAAGGATACAGCTCCAAAACACAAGTGTACCAAGAGCAGGATTGTGTGTAGACCTCTGTATAGCATGCAGGTGAAGACCTGAAACAACACGGTGACCTGTGCTGTGAGGAAGGCGCTTGACTTCCAGGAGAGGCGACTTCACACCTGCCAGGTGGTCTTTCTGTCCTAACCAGATAGGGTCTAATTCCTTATTTGCAAAAGTGCTGCAGCAATTTGACCTTTTAAATTTAATGGTAGAATATGTTCAACCTATAGAAAGGAATAGCTCTCAACCCTTGAAAAGCCAGGGGAACCAACAAAGGCAGGACATAGATGGGACTTTGTGGAAACCACAGTGAGGCGAACAGAGGACAATGTCCACAATAAATTTGATGCCAGTGATGCTGAGTTCTAGCTCTTTGCTGCATAGAAATGAAAACGTCAGCACATCCATAAATGGATGCTAAGTCCAGACCATAGAAATAAATGCAAATACAAGTAAGTAAATACAGTGGGTAATATCCAGCCTTTCTAATAATAAGAAAGGAGCAATTTCAACTGTGGGGTGGCATTTTTTTTCACCCACCAAATCAGCCCCAAAATAAAAAGCCTACCTCAGTATTACCAAGGTGGATTGGGACATTGCCGGCCACATTTTCAATGAGCCCTGTTCTTTCGGAAAGCAATTAAATATTAGGTTTCTAGAATTATTGATGTATTTATCCTCCTTACCCAGCTGTTCAATGTGAGGAAATAGTCTAATTACACAGCAAGCTCTATGTCTGAGACCGCTGGGCTGGGCACCGTCTAGTAACAGAACTTGGAAGTAGCCCATATTGCAAACCGGACATTACAGACAATGGCATTCCCATTCAAGAATTCCCCGAGCCCCTGCGGAAAGCAGTCTGAAGCCTAGATAGCAACGTGGGAAGGTGTGACATACCGTGAGGTGAAGAAGGCTGACAGGCACACTCTGCACACACTGGGAGGATGAAAAGTCGTACTGGGCACGGGTCTGGATTGGGTTTGGGGTTTTTACATCTCTAACACTCAGGAACCAGCTCTGAAGCCACACCCTCGGGGCCTGAGTCACAGCACCCACAGTGGTGGTGGGAAGTGAGACTCAGCCCTGTGGGATCAGGGGGCACATTCTGAAGCATGGGGCCACAGGTGCCAAGTTCCAGAAAACTCAGATGTATCTGAGGGAGACAGGCTTTTTATGCCCACTGGGGAAGGGTAGCTCTAGGACCCCCAGCCAGAATGGAAGATTCCGACCTGACTCTGCACACTTGCTGGACCTGGCACCTAATACATGGGGAGACCCCCAGGACCTTGTCACCATGTGTGGAGACTGTCCCCGTATCTTGTCTGTTGTCCTTAGCATTTCTCTGAGATTCACACAGCACCTGCTGGTTGAGACTCTAGTCTGGTTGAGACTTTAGGAAACACCCAGGCTCTCGACGGCAGGGTCAGCTCCTCCTGGCCAGCTCGCTGGCCTCCTCCAGATAACACCTCCCTCATTAGGTGAGCTGGTGGCAGATGCGTCTACTGTAACTCTGGTGGTGGCAGATGCGTCCACTGTAACTCTGGTGGTTGGTCATGTGTCTATCCCTGAGCAGGACAGATGGCCATGGTCTACCTGGCAACCCCTCCTCACAGCCTTGTCAGTCAGGAATGCTACTTTCACCGTGAGCATTGTGCTCATCTAAGATCTATCTGCCTGGGACCAAGTGGACAGCAACGACGAGAAGGATTGGGTCAGAGTCTTGGGAGGATGAGTGGGGAACAGCTCAGAATAGAGGGATGAGAATGGTTATACAAGTTAGAGAATGTTCATCACCAGATTGTATGTGAAACGCATGGATCAGTGTATGTTTTGTTACATGTATTGACAGCAACATCAAATTTAGGGAAAATATTTTTTTAATTCTAGACTTGAACTTGTCTGTGGAAAATATTTCACTGTACGTATTTCATTTTCAAAGATGGTCCTTAAAAAAAACACGTGATTCTCAGAATGTCAGCTTTCTACCCAGCATAGAAAGAGGTGGCCAAAGGCTACTTCCCAGTACCCTGCTAGCTACAAACCATGTGGTGTCCGGTGGTGGTGGACATATTTCAAGTGCTTGATGAGGGGAGAATGACTTGAAAACAGCCCGCCCTTTGATCCCCCTTCAAAGCAGTCTTGTATGTAAGGTACCCCCACCCCCAGTAAGAAGGAGACCACCAACAATAGAAGTACATAGAAGTACCCCAGGAGGTGTCAGAGCTCAGCCTTGCATACCTTACCTTGAATCACCTGAGAAGCTTTTACTTCCTCAGGTTTGAATGTTAAGTTCCTAAGCTCTTTACTGGTCCGTCTCACACAGACAGGGTCCTACCCACCTACTCACACAGATGCTCTGGTCTGCTCAGTGGGTGCCTGCTATGAGTTCAGTGTTTCCGCCCAGAGACCAACTGTAATACAACACTACGTAGCCTTGAGCTCTCATTCCCGGATACTAAATTGACCTGTGTGTGGCTGGGTGATGTAGATATTCAAGCACTGGGCTGACTAACTGAAAAGTTGGAGGTTCAAGTCCACCCACCAGTGCATCAGAAGAAAGGCTTGCCAATCTACCTCCAAAATCTCGGCCACTGGAAATCCGAGGGGCACAGTTCGCCAGGCCTCAGAGTCGCATCACCGGCCACTGATCTTACCATTGCATTGCCCAAGGTGACAATGGATGCTCTGCATTTTCCATGAGTTCTTTATCCTCATTTTCCTCAGGATTGTTTGTTTAACAGAGACTTTAAATATTAACAGTGACTTCTGGCGCCAAGTTTGTCAAGAATGGCCAGTGAGGTGCTCGGGCGGAACCCAGTCCTCTTGGGAGGACGTCTAGGCTGGCACTGACCCCTGACGCCTTCCTTCCGTTGTTATGTTTTTCTTTGTGAGTGAATCTCCTCCTCTGACAGTCCTGGGAGGCTGGTTCTCACCCTTCTCCCCCAATTGAGAAGTCTGTAGCCCTTTGTCCTCCCTGCAGTGTTGAAAGAAAACACCTCACAAAGGGCCTGAGCAAACACTCAGCACTCTTGTGCGTGGCTCCGGGCATGACTGTCCTTGTCTGGCCCTCCCTTTCTCCACAGGAATCTGATGCTGGTGCTTTTTGGAGGGACAGTGGTCTAAGTCGCTTTCCTGTCCCCTAACTTTTGCAGAATTAGCCAGACTGCCACAAAACAGCTGGTGTGACCCACACTTAGTTCCGCATTATGAAGGCTTGCTGCCTAAGAGCAGGTGGGCTGATATCATGCAGCCTATCTATGCCCTATGGACTGCATGTGGTGCCAATCTAGAGGCCACCTGCTTTCAGTGCATTTCCAGAGAAGAATCACTGTCACCAAGCTCACAATTACACTATGGCACAGGGCCCTCACATAGGATTCGTCGTGAGCAGTAAGCTGGGAGAGGAACAGTGGCTGCAAAGTGCAGGGAAACCCGAACAGCTTACATACTGTGAACGCGGGCATCCATTGGAGGTGTGCGTGCCCAGCTCCACACCAGCTTACCTGTTACTGGCGCAGGCATACCTTGGAGATCTGCAGACCGCTGCAGTAATGTCAAGGTCACAGTCAAAGGCGGTTTCCCAGTGTTATAAAGCGCCGTGGACACTAGACCGGTGTTGGTCAAGTGTGCAGTCGTGTGATCAAAATGTGTGAACTATCACGAGAAGGTCGCACGTGGGACTCAAGAGAACAAGCACGGGCAGTGGGGGAGATGGTGCCGATAGACTCACCATCGACCTTGGATTTGTGAAAAGCCCCATCATGCATGTGGAGCACGGTGAAGTGAGGTCTGCCTCTGTTTGGTTCCTTCACTCTACTCTTCCCACGAGTGTGGGAAGGTAGGTTGTTTACAGGGTGAACAGTGAGGGCAACTTGGGTTCAGTTCCAACCCACAGCAACCCTGTAGGTCAGAGCAGAACTGCTCACAGTGTTTCCAAGGTTGTCAGTCTGTACAGACGCACACTGCTTCACCATTCTTCCTCAGAACGGCTGGTGGGTTCAAACTACCAACCAATCAGCAGCCGAGTGCTTTAACCACTACGCTCCCAGGGTTCCTTAAGCGTGACTTGAGGTTGACCTTTTTGCTCAGTTATAGGTGGGAAACGCTGCTGTGGGGTCCTGACTGTTTGCCCAGGTGCTGCCGTGGATACTCAGCCCAGGGCTCGTCCACACCCATGTTTTATTTTGTAGGCCCTGCAGTGGGAGAGGCTCTTCACTACGTGATCCCCACCCTCAGGACCTGCCTGCAGCCCACCAGGGACCCCCAGATGCGCCTGAAACTTCTCTCCCTCCTCTCCAAAGTGCTGCTCAGAGCCCAGGAGACGGTGGACTCACAAGGGTGGGTGAGGCCCTGGCCCCCCCAGGAAGGATGGGTGGGATCCTGGCCCCCCCCCCCATGGCTGAGATGTGACTTGGAGGGATGGCCTATGGTCTCCTGGAGGCTGGTTGGGCCCACAGGGGCTGGAATCCCCCATTGGGTACGTGCGACACATTGAGGGGCATTAAGTCCAAGTTGTCTGGGTGAGGCAAGAACGTTTTGCGGACGTTGACTGTTCATGGTTTCTGCATAAGCCAGTCTTCATTTTAAAAGCCTGTTTTAGAGATGGGGAAGTGAGGAGGAGGAGGTGGCAGCCTGAAAACATCTAGGCCGTGGTGTCGTGGAAGCCTGGTTGAGGCAGCAGCTTGGGAATCCGGGGTGCAGCCCTGTGTAAAGCCGTACACCCTGAAGCTCCCCCTGCAGTGTGTGTGCTGAAGAGTCTGGGATGTGGGATGCAGCCCTGTGTCCCCCAAGGGCATATGTCTTAGAGCTCCTCCCTCAGTCTCTATGCTGAGTCGGGGGTGTGGGGTACAGACCCAAGGCCATACATCCTAGAGCAACCCCCGCAGTGTATGTGCTGATGACTCTGGGGCATGGAGTGCAGCCCTGCCCTCTCGAGGCCATACATCCTGAGCGTTCGAGTCCACAGTGGTCAGTGCACAGACCCTATGCACAGAGCCACAGTGGAGACAGTGCCCCAGGCAGGTCTGACTACAGTGTCTCTCAGTACCTGTGCTTTCCTGGTAAATCAGCAAAGATCCCAAGTAAAGCACCATCCTCTCTGTTTACAGGCCCTGCCCTGACCTCAGTGACTCTGACACAGGTGGGGTTGGGGGAACACATATGCTGCATGGGCTTCTAGGGAGGTGACGTCTCTGTGGGTGACATGCTGAAACGGGCTGCTCACTGAGACGCTTGCCCCAACTGTGTCGCATACTCCACTGTGGGCCCGCACCAGCCAGTCCATCACAGTCTCGTTTCCTGATTGTCTGCAACGCTTCACATCTTCGGAGTGACCTGGGCAGGGTACCTGACAGCCACCCCTGGGAACTGCTGTGGACAATGCTCTGCTTCCCTGGTGTCAGGGGGTCCCTTGGGATGGAGACTGCCATGCTTCCGCTGGAAGAAACGAGAACGTTGGAGATTCTGCCTGAGAAGCAGGGTAGGGCCAGTGTCAGGAACTCGGTTCTAGTGGTATGGTGGGCATGTTTATAGGCAGCAAAGACGGGAGAGCATCCATGTGGCGACCTTTCAGGGTTCCAAACTGTAAGCTCATGGGACAGATGGCTGACTCTGTTGAGCCTCTTTGGTTTGGTGCCTCGCACACCAGCCCCTGTGACTGGTCCCCCAGCTGCACCTATCCCAGCCCTCCCAGGCAGCCTGTTTTCTGTGGTTACCAGGTGAGGGTTTCCATCCCAACCTCCCCTTTTTCCTCATCAGTTGTTGCCCTCCTCTTGGAAGCCACGAAGACCTGCGTGCGGTGCTGGGCTAAGGTTTTGCTTTCCAGTGAAGGCAGGGTACACAACTTTAGTAACAGGCCACTTAAATCTGGGATGGATTTTACAGGAGCTGTTTAGGGTCTCCTTGACCTAGGGTCCCTGGACAGGGTGCTTAGTTTTTGGAGGCAGTCTTGGTGCTGCTCTTTGCTCCCAGGAATTAGGGACCAGGTCAGCAGGTTCTGGCTCACCAGCTCTTGCACCTCCCACCAGCATCCCAGACGGGTCTGCCAGCCATGGGCTCTCCAGACACTTCAGTGGATCATTCTGGACACAGATGTAGGATATAGGTCATCTCAGAAACGCCTCCTTAAAAATCTCTGCCATCCTGACCTAGTTTGCCCTTCACCTCCCCTGGGAGCAGTGGGTCCCCGTCTGCCCCTCCTAAGCTGACCCCCAAGGAGCAGAGGACTCCAGCGCGGGCATCCGGCCCCTTACTGCCCCTGTGCTCTGGCTGCAGGCAGCTCCACGCCTACCTTGAGACGCTGGTAACAGACATCCTGATCCCCAACCTACAGTGGCATGCCGGGAGGACCGCTGCAGCTATCCGCACAGCCGCTGTAGCCGCCCTCTGGGCACTCGTCAGCTCTGGGACCCTGTCAGCTGAGCAGGTACTGACCCAGCTGGTGGGGTCTGGTCTGGGGGAGGAGGGAGAGGACAGGCCATGTGGGCTGCAGTGTGGAAATGTGGGAACACTGACACATCTGTGTGGTTCTGTCTCTTTTGGGTCTGGAAGTGCAGGTTAGGCGCTGGCTTCTCATCTGCAGCCTTTGAGCCCAAGCTATAGACCAAGTGGCTGCCCACCCCACAATAGAGCAGATGGCGAGCAGGAGTGGGGCTGGGATGTAACCTCGGGCAGAGATTGCTTGGGGCTTTGTGTTAACAAGGGTGTGCCAGTCTCAGGAACCTCTCCAGTTAACACAGGCTAGGTACAGGCAGCAGAAGTAAACGCGCAGTCAGAAAACGGTCTGTGGGCTGCTGGCATTGCTCAGCGCCACCTCCTGGCTGGTAAAGGTAAAGGCTTCAGAGCCCGAGGTCTCCCCTACAGCCTGTACCTCAGCTGTTCAAATGAGCTAAACGTTTAAGTCCAGATTCATGTTTACTTTTCTGGTAAAAATTCCAAAACAGCATTTTAGAATCCCATGCATACACTGAGTGAGTGGTGGTCCCCATGCCTCTGCTCTGTTTGCAGATCCTGGAAGTGCAGGGGGCTCTGATGCCACAGATGGTGACCACCCTCGAAGAGGACTCACAGATGACCCGGATGCTCTCATGCCGCATCATCAACCTGTTCCTGCAAACCGCTGGGAACAGGAGCGAACCAGAAAAGCTGGTCAAGATCTACCCCGGTAGGGCCGTTCTGTGCCTCAGATTGTGAGGGGGGTGTTGTTGTTATGTACGGTAGAGTCAGTTTCAACTCATAGAGACCCTGTACAGGGTTCCCGAGGCTGTAAATCTTTACAGGAGCAGAAAGCCTCTCTTTCTCCTGCAGAACAGCTGGTAGTTTCGAACTGCTGACAGTGAAATTAGCAGCCCAATTCGTAGCCACTACGCTACCAGAGCTCCTTGTGAGGGGTTAGGGAGTAAATTTGACCGCAGTTTGTACTCTCAGGGTGCATTGGTGGCACAATGATGAAAGCACTCAGATGCTCACTGAAAGGTTAGCGGTTGAAACCTACCAAGTGCTCAGTGGGAGAAAGATGTGGTAATCTGCTCCCGTAAAGATGACAGCCTTGGAAACCCTGTGGGGTCACACTTGAGTGGGAATCAACTCAGTGACAGTGGGCTGTTTTCTACTTTCTGACCACTGGTCAGGTTGGTTCTGCATCCAACATGGCAGATAAAACTGAGGGGCACAACCCCACATGGAAAAGGATAAACATCTTGTGGGTCAGAAGTGGGGCAGCATGGCGATAGGACCAGGGTTAAGCCATGGCAGTGACCAAGACAGACCCCAGAAAAAGGACATCTGGGATGTGGGCAGAGATGGAGCCACACAGAGAAGCCTGGCTATGGCGCCCCCCCAGAGCCTCTGGGTGTTGGGAGTCCAGCATAGACTGTGATGAGCTCAGCAGACGGATAGAAGTCACCAAAACACTAAAAAGAGTAGTAAGTGCAGAGAGGATGGTCCCTTCCCCAGGTGCACAAAAGCCTGAGGACACACGGAAGAGCTGGCGTGGTGGAGGATGCCAGCAAGACCCAGTGGTAGACCTGAAATCCTCATAGCACTGTCTTAGCGGTAGAGTCTGACAGTGTGCTTAAGATCCTGAACTAGCATGCATTAGAAAACCAGCTGAAAGGACAGAAAGGGGTGAAGCCGGTCGTGTGTAATCACAGGTAGCAGATGGGCGGGCGAGGCGCACCAGGTTCAGGACACTGTACCTCATTGGTATTTCCATTTCCCGAGCTGGGTAGTGGCTATAGAGGTTTGCATTGATATCTATACTTTCATATGCCAGAAATATGTGGCAATTTAAAAAAAAAAGTTTTCAGAATTCCTGGAAATTAAACATCATTGAGCTCATCATCTCAGTAACTGGGTAAACAAAATGTGGTACATACATGCATGCAATAGAAGACTACTCAGGCAGTAGTAGAAATGAATACATGCTTCAGTATGGGTGGAGCTGGGAGACCAGTATTACATGACCTCACTCATAAAAAAACAAATGTATAGAAGCCAAAGTTTATCGGTGACCCTCGGAAACCCTGTACAGGGTCGCTATGGGTCGGACCCGACTCGATGGCACTTAACAACAACAACAACAACAACTAGGGGAAAGGGGGGTGGGGGGGTAGAGTCCCTGCCGAGGCTGCTGATGTACAGTCAAGCCGTCATAGGATTTGCTTCCTTGTTTTGTAGGTGTGCAGTCCTAGTTTCATGGAACATCCCATGGCTTAATAACCTGTTGAGTGCTTCTGTTCTGTCTCCTAGTTCACTGCATAGTGCCTGAGGCCTTACAAGCTAACAAGCCGCCATCCAAGTCAGCACAATTAGTTTCTCTTCACCTCGGGCAACAGAGGAAGGTGGATCAGGAATAGGAGAGCATTGAATGTGTGACTAATCGCCTCCATCAACAGCTGCTTCCTTTGGCAGGGTACCAGGACTGGATAATACCCAGATAACACTACTGTATTTTTTGATGAGGGATTCTATAGAATTCGGATTAAGAGGAGAAATGCAGAACAGAATTTAATATTATCATGGGATCCAGGCTTTGTGAACCTCTGAAACTATTGCCCTGAAGATAGTCAACTTTCTTTATGGGATCAAAGTGATAACAGCAACTTGAAAGATTAGATAAGAGCTTTAGGGACTGAATTTATGGTCGGGTAGGAAGAACAACTCAGAGGAGGAGGTTGCACAACTCTTAGAAAAATAATCAATGTCACTAAGGAGCTCTGGTAGCGTAGTGGTTACGAATCGGGCTGCGAACCTTAAGGTCAGCGGTTCGAAACTACCAGCTGCTCCGTGGGAGAAAGATGAGGCTTTCTACTCCCGTAAAGGTTTACACCCTCGGAAACCCTATACAGGGTCGCTATGGGTCGGAACCGACTCGATGGCACATAACAACAACAACAACAAAAGTTGTACACTTGGAAGGGAAAGCAGACTATTTCTGACTGTGTAGCCACTGAAAACCTTAGGAATAAAATGACAGCAGAACATTGTCAGATGTAGTACCAGAAGAGGAGCTCCGCAGGCTAGAAGGCACTCAAAATACGAGACGGGGAAGAGCTGCCTCCTCAAAGTAAAGTTGACTGTGAGGATGCTAATGAGTAAAACGTTGCGGCCTTCATTTGCTGATGGGGCACAACTCACAATGAGAAGAAACACTGCAAACATTCATTAATAATCGAACCATCATCTGAAGAACAGATTTGATGCCTTAGACACTAATAACCAAAGACCAGAAGAGCTGTAGGAAGATATGAAGAGCACCATGCAGGAGGAGAACAAAAGGTCATTAAAAAGACAGGAAAGATTTCTTAAGCACATGGATTTTGAAAAAATACAACATATGCTGTTAAGTGCCGTCGAGTTAGTTCACACTCATAATGAATCTGTATAGGGCTTCTAAGGAGCGGCTGGTGAGTTTGAACCACCAACCTTGCAATTAGCAGTCTGGTGCTTATATCTACAGCGCCACACCAGGACTCTAATACAATTTATGAAATTGCTTATTTTTATTCTAAATTGTCCTTTTGTTTAGCATTAAAGTAGAAATATTGCAGTCTGAGTCATGGGAAGTTTTCCTTACATTGATGCTCTTATCCACCCAGCCCCTGATGAATAGGTGTGTGTCTATCTGGGAAGGAGAGCAGTAAAGTAAGAATTTGGAGGGAATTTCTAACACTAAGAGCAGGCTTTCATTCTGACCTATCATAAAGTAAGGTGATTCCCTAGAAAAGCTAACAGATTTTAAACAGTTACAAGAAAACAGTTGTTTCCAATCCTGAAGTTCAAAACAGATTGCCTCTTGAAATTTGTTTTTTGCTGCCCTTGGATTTCCTCAGCCACCTTGTGGTTTCAGTCAAACAGAAGTCCTATCCCTGATCTTTTTGTCAGTGATGCTTCTAGATTTGGGAAATTTTCTAGGCTATTGACAAGTTTGATGGTGCAATTTCAAAATTGATGTTATTGATTAATGCTTGAGTTGGTAAACAAAGCAGTTTAAAAGCTATGCTGTAAAGTACAAATAACAACGGCTACTTTTTCTTCTCTCCATTTTCCCTGTCGTTTCTGTTGTGCTTGTAGTTTGTCAAGGTCATCAGTGGTACTTCTTACTAATTGTGTTTTCAGTGATGTGCAATGCCCAATATCCCTATTCATCAAAAAAATAAACAGAAATATCCTGGGGAATTAAAAAAAAAGGAAAGAAAAAAGACCAAAATAGATGTCAGAAGAGACTCTGAAACTTGCTCTCCAGTATAAAGATGCTAAAGCAAAAGGAAAGAGCTAAACAGAAAATTTCAAGTGAAAGCTTGAGAAGACAAAGTCAGGTATTACTATGAAATGTGTAAACATCTGACGTTTGAAAACCAAAAGGGAAGGACATGCTCAGTATATTCAAGCTGAAAGAATTGAAAAAAAAAAAAATTCAAGATTCGCCTTACAATATTGAATGATTCAGAATCCTGGTGTGGCACTGTAGGATAAACTTTGGACCACAAGGTCAGTTTGAATCATAAAGCTGGCGGTTCAAACCCACCAGCTGTGCCTTAGAAACCCTATACAAGATTGCTACCAGTCAGGACTGACTCCACCGCACTTAACAATAACAGCAAATGAGCAAAATGTTGAATGATGAAGAAAACATCAAAAGAAGATGAAAGGAATACACAGAGTCATTGTACAAAAAATAAATGATAGGTCTCTAACCATTTCAAAACGCAGCATATGATAACCAGTGGTACTAAAGGAAGAAGTCTAAGCTGCACTGTAGGAATTGGCAAAAAACAAGACTCCAGAAATGGATGGAATAGAAACTGAAATCTTTCAACAAACTGAGGCAGCACTGGAGGCACAGATTCATCTATACCAAGAAATTTGGAAGACAGCTACCTGGCCAAATGACTGGAGGAGGACCTTATTTGTGCCCATTTCAAAGCGAGGTGGCTCAACGAAATATGGAAATCATCAAAAAAATATCCTTAATATCACATGCAACTAAAATTTTGTTGAAGATAATTCAAAAATGGTGCAACAATACATTGACAGGGAGCTGCCAGAAATTCAAGCTGGATTTAGACAAGGATGTAGAGCAAGGAACATCATTGCTGACATCAGATAGATCTTGGTGAAAAGCAGAGAATACCACTAAGATGTTGATTTATGCTTTATTGACTATGCAAAGGCTTTATGCAGATCATAAAAGCTATGGATAACATTTCAAAGAATGAGTATTCCAGACATTTAATTGTGCTCATGAGGAACCTGTACATAGACCAAGAGGCAGTCATTAGAATAGAACAAGGGGACACTAAATGGTTTAAAATCAGAAAGGTGTGTGCAAGAACTGTATTCTTTCACCATACTTATTCAGTCTGTATGCTGAGCAAATAATCCGAGAGGCTGAATTATGAGGAGAAAAATGTGGCATCAGAATTTAAGGAAGACTCGTTAACAACATGCAATGTGCAGATGACACAACTTTGCTTGCTAAAAGTGAAGAGGATTAAAGACTGATGAAGGTCAAAGCCATCAGTATGGGATGTAAAGAAAACAAAAATCCTTACAACTGGGCCAACAAATAACATCATGATAAATGGATAAAAGATTGAATTTGTTATCATGACTAATTACGACTGTCACAACTGTAAAGGTAGAAGTTTTATAACTAAAAGGGGGTAATAGTGAATCTTGCTGTCCAGGAACAGAGGACTCTATCCAGACCACAAGCGAAACGTGGGACCCTGTCCAGAGAAGCAGCAACACCAGAGATGGAGGCAGATATGAGGACATGGAGAGAGGGAACAGCTGAGGACTCTAGACTTATGGAAAGAGAGGGACTGAGTGCTGGTGGCCAGGAGGCAGGCTTACAGAATGTGCCCTTTGGTTGTTTAAGTGATTATATTTTCCGGAGTGTTTTTGTGTACATCACAAAAAGAAAAACAGAGGGACTAGAAGCAAATACTGTTGAATGATGATGCATGGAGGAGATTGTAATCATTACTATGAAACAATGAGTGTAAAACCGATGTACTCTCTTGTAAACTGTCACTCAAGTCACAATAAAAACTTTTTAAAAAATTAAATTAAAAGATTGAAGTTGTCAAAGACTTCATTTTGCTTAGATCCATTATCAAGACTCATGGAAGCAGCAGTCAAGAGATCAAATGAAGTATTGCATTAGGCAAATCTGCTGCACAAGACCTCTCTAAAGTGTTCAATGTGTTGATGGTAGATCCAAGTAAAATGAAGTCTTTGACTACTTCAATCTTTTATTCATTGATGATGAGGTTATTTATTGGTTCAGTGCTGAGGATTTTTATTTTAAGTTGAAGTGCAACCCATACCGAAGGCTGTGGTCTTTGATCGTCATCAAAAGTATATTAAGTCTATTCACCTGGTTGGTGGTGGTGGTGGTGATGTGCCATGGAGTCAGTTCCGACTCATAGCAACCCTGTTATAGGGTTTCCAAGGCTGTAAATCTTTACAGGAGCAGAAAGCTTCATTTTTCTCCTGCAGAACCACTGGTAGTTTCGAACTGCTGACCGTGAGAGTAGCAGCCCAACTCTTAACTAGTACACTACCAGAGCTCCTTATTCACCCGCTTGTTGTTGTTAAGTGCCATCGAGTCAGTTCCAACCCATAACAAACCCTATATAGGGTTTCCGAGGAGCAGCTGATGAGCTTGAACCACCAACCTGGCAGTTCAAATGGCTTTCCAGTCTGGTGCATTAACCCACAGCGTCACACCAGGACTCCACATTCACCCGGTAGTAGGTGCCAAAATTTTCAAAAATGTTCAAGGAGAAAAGCATGAATTTGATATACTCTGCCCACTGGCCCACTCAGAAGTGGTCACTGTTGTTTGGGTTGTAGGCAATCTGGTTGTGGGGCTCATGGTGGCCCCTGGGCCTCAGCGCTATCTGACACCTATCTCTCTAGTACTGTCAATGGTCTATAGAGCCGCCAGGTTTGCCTCCAGGTGAGGGGCTTTGAATCCCTTCAGGGACCAGATGATAGGGTGTTTCACAGACCAAACAGAGACAAACCCCCATTTGAGGCTTGAGAGGTGTCCCACCAGAGCCGGGGTCCAAACCTTCCCTCTGACTGCACCCTCAATCCTGAGTGTGGGACCCAGGTGGCAACTCGCCCCAAGTGTGAGAGCTCCACTGTGTGGCCTCCCTCTGGGGGACATGTCGCTGCCTAACACTGTCCTGGTTGCTGCTTCCAGAACTCTTAAAACGCCTGGACGACGTTTCCAACGAAGTGAGGATTGCAGCTGCAGGTACCTTGACTACCTGGCTGAAGTGTGTCCGCAACGATGACAGCAAGTCCTCCTACCAGAGTACCATCCAGTACCTGTACAAGGAGCTGCTCGTGTACCTTGATGACCCGGAGCCCGCCATCCAGGACGTGGTCTTAGGTGAGCCTATCAAATGTGCTGTGTCCGAGAGCCTGGCGGCCTCACACCTGAACTGAAATTGGGAAAATTTTAAACTATTTATTCATTTATTTTTAAAATAGCAGTAAGCCCATTTACACATTAGGATATATGCCATGATTTTGCCAAGCGAAGTCATTAGCAAGAAGAGTGGCATGGGTTTACCTTTTTGCTAGTCTGTAATGTCTAAGTGAATAGAAGACAACTGGAGTTTCTTATCTACTCTGCCCTGGTGGTATAGCATTGAGCAGCTAATCACAAGGTCAGCAGTTCAAACTCACCAGCCACTACATGAGAGAAAGATGAAGCTGTGTGCGTTCATAAAGATTTACAGTCTCTTACTCTATCCTATATGGTCTCTACAAGTCAAACTTTACTCAATGGTAATAGGATTTTGGTTCTATGTGGTGGATGTTATGTACCGTGGGGTCAGTTCCGACTCATAGTGACCCTGTACAGGGTTTCCAAGGCTGTAAATCTTTGCAGGAGCAGAAAGCTTCATCTTTCTTCTGTGGAACAGCTGGTTCTACACTCAGTTGCAAATGCTGTCCTAGCCGAAACTTAATGGCAGAAGGAGTCCCTAGGTGACTTAACTGTGAACACACTTAGCTACCAACCGAAAGGTTGAAAATTTGAGTCCACCCAGAGGCCTTGGAAGAAAGGCCTGGTGATCAGGGCACCATCAGTAGAATCTGTTGTCATTGTGAAGTGCCGTCCAGTCAATTCCGACTCACAGTGACCCTGTATAGGGTTTCCGAGGCTTTAAATCTTAATGGGAGCAGAGTAGGCGGGTTCAAACCGTGGTCCTTGTGGTTCTTAGCCCAGTGCTTACCATATGGAGCTACTACACTAACTCTTATGAAAGCTCAGCCCCTGAAAGCCCCTTGAGGCATGGTTCTACTCTGACACACACAGAAGCGCATGAGGTGACTTGGCAACTGCTTTCTTTAATATGGGAGGAGTCTGGCTTCCCACATAACGTGACTGGAGATGAGTTTTGAATGCTCCTCGAGTAACTGTGGACATTCCCCTTAGCTGTGGCACCAGAGCAGGTTGCTCCCTGAGAGTTCATACACACAGCTTTCCCTGTTTCACTGAGGGCATTGAGTGAAGCATGTGTTTATGTACAGTGAGTCTGCCCTGTTCTGTTAGGGAGACATGTGGACTCTCAGGAGACCCTCCAGGCTCTCAGCTCACTGGGAACCGCCACCTTCCACAAAGCAAAACCTGCTGCTGAGGCAAACAATGCCGCCCAGCCATCCTCAAGGCTATCTGCGAGGGCCTCTCGTTAATGGTCTGCTAGCAGCACCAACAAATTGGAACTCTTACTCCTTTTGTCCTCATTGTGACCGTTAAAAAATGCCCTTGCAGATGTTTTAGTTTTAATAGGAAACATTTCTGCCTATTGGACAGAAATGCTTTTTCTTTTTTTTGTAGCCTTTTGTAGCCACGAGTTCTGCATCTTTTTGTAGCCATGAGCTCTGCATCCACAGATTCAGCCAACCACAAATCAGAAGTGTTCGGGTGATGGGTGGTGGAAGAAAAACAAGTGGTGAATGCAGTCCCTCACAGACTAAGGGAGGGTACTACAGTGCAATTTCCAGAACATTTGCATTGTAAGTAATCGAGGCACGGCTTACTGTACACAAGAGCATGTGCGTAATTTATGTGCAAATACTATGCCATCTCATACAAGGGACTTTGAGCATCTGGGCAGTGTGGCCTGTTACCAGTTTCCCTGTAGACATGGAGATATGGCTATATTCAGAAACCACTAACAGGTGGCTGTGATACTTTTTCCTGGCATGTCTTATGTGCTTGGCTATTTTCCAGAGGTACTTAAGGAGGGCAGTGTCCTGTTCCCTGAGATCCTGGTACAGGAAACTGAGGCTGTCCTTCACAAGCACCGCTCCCCGGCCCACTGCGAGCAGCTCCTGAAGCACTTGCAGGCCCTGGTGGTCGCGCACTGACCACTCTCAGATCGGCGCCTCAGACCAGTGCCAGCGCCCATCTTCCACGGGGCACCTCTGTCAGCAGCGAGGGCACTCACAAGAAGACTGTGACAGCCAGAAGAATGTCATCCCCACACAATGTATCCCTTAGTCTCCAGGGACCGGTGGTCTAGCACCCAGCCTTTCTGAAACAGCGTTCACCAATGGGGTCCATATTTGTACGCCTCTTCAGACCGTTCATTAAGAGATCTGCTGATGATCTACAGACAATTCGAAGTTAAACTAAATGGCATCCCGGCAGCCAAGTCAGCCCTACTGTGATTCCCTTTTTTGGGCCCCAAGTGCACAGCTCTGCCCTGGATGACTGGTTGTGCTTGCTGACATGCCTAGGAAGAATGTTCTTGACTATTTTTATAAAGCCGAAGTAAATTTAAAAACTCTTCATCTATTTTTGGGTTCTATCTCTTGAAACTTAACTATCTCAGTGAGCAGACTAAAAGCAATTTGAAATCTCAAGAACTGTTTGTCTATGAAACTTCCCATTTTAAATACACTGGAATTTAAAGTGATAAAGATACATACAATGGTTTTTTTCTGAAGCCAGTAATGCTTATAATAGCTTCTAGTATTGAAAATAAAATCATATATTTTTTTGGTTGCTCTCTTATACCTAGCAGTAAAGTAAAATTATATTTTCGTTTCTAACCCTTTCCACACCCAAGTGCCTGCAAGATTTTGTTTCAAGTGGGTATTGTTTGCATAAGCCAGTATTTATGTTAAAGTAAGGGGGGGGCGAAAATGCTGTGTGTTTTCCAGCCACCAAATATTAACATTTATGTTTTAATGTCCAAATTTTTAATTAAAACTATTTATAATTATTTTGTGTGCCTGTGTCTTAGTTTTCCAGTGCTGCTGTAATACCACAAGTGATGGTTTTAGCTAATTTAAATGGATTATCTCACAGTTTAGGAGGCTAAAACTCTGAATTCAGGGCGCCACTCTTCCACTATTCCCTTAGCCCTCTTTCTCTGCATCCATAGTTCCAAGAGTGGTTACCTAACCCGCAACATTAGCATCCCCTGGGATTGTTAGAAATGCATGTTATCAGGCCTCAGAGCAGCCCTACCTCATCTGTCAGCCCTACCCTGGGTGTTTCGGATGTGTGAGGACCCTGCCTGACACCAAACACTGACCCGTCCAGTGTTCTCTGTCTTCCATCAGCCATTAGGTGTTAGGGTAAGGCTTTCTTTCTCTGTTGGCTCTGAAGATAGGTCCTTGTCTCCTTTCAACATCTGTAGGTGGTCTTCCTTAGAGATCACCATGGATTGTGGTATCCATCTTCCCCTGGGTCTAGGAGGTTTTCAGACACCCTGCACCTGGCTCTTCTTTCTTGGGGGTAGGAGGTCCCTTCCTCTCTGATCCCTTCTATCTCTCTCAGAATAAAAGGAAATGCAGGCCACACCCAGGGAAACCCCTTTCATTGGATCAGGGCTGTGACCTGAATAAGGGTGTTGTAGCCCAACCTCATCTCCTTACAACTGACTCGCTGATCACATTAGGTCACATCATGGATGATTACATTACTGTCCAATTACAGAAGCATGGCCCAGCCAATATGACAAATATTCTGAGGGGTACATAATTCAATCCATGTCAGCCTATCGTTACCAAATTTGGTACTGAATTTGGTAACCAGCGTTTTTAGAAATATCTGATTTTTTCCTTGGATTGACCTCAGCCAGCTGCAGAATTCTGGGCCTCTCGGCTGGGAGGGCTGTGGAGTCTCAGTGTAATGTGATTTCTGGACACCAGGTGGCAGAAGGCTCCACTATGGCATTGCTGAAGCTGCCCTCAAGTCTTCACCTGGAAAAGGGCTGGAGGGAAAACAAAACCCTGGGGGAAGGGAGGGGACTGAGGGTCTGAATCTGTGCCTAGACCCCATCCTTGCAGCCCAGATCCCATGGGGAGGCATTCCTTGCACTGCAAGTTGGAACCACCTTTCTGTCTCCATCTAATTCTGAAGTCCTCATTACTGCTTTCTGAGCGCAGTTTCCATAACTGATAGCCAGGAGGTTTATGTTGTTAAGTGCCATTGAGTTGGTTCCGACCCATAGAGATGCTATATAGGGTTTCCAAGGAGCAGCTGGTGAGCTTGAACCACCAACCTTGCAGTTCAAATGGCTTTGCAGTCTGACACATTAGCCCATAGTGCCACACCAGGACTCCAGGGGGGTTATGTTGTTAAGTGTTGTCGAGTCGGTTCCGACCCATAGCGACCCTCTAGAGGGTTTCCAAGGAGCAACTGGTGAACTTGAACCACCAACCTTGCAGTTCAAACCGACTGTGCAATCTAGCGCATTAACCCACACTTCTTTAAATTATCTCTTCCACCAATTCCGTAGTTTCCCTTAGCTCTCTTTCTCTGCTGTTTTCTTAAAGGTTCCTAAAGAGTTGACATCCATAGTTCTCAGAGAGTGGTTACCAAAGCCACAGCATCAGCGCCCTCTAGGAATCTTAGAAATGCAGAGACCTCCATTGTCCTTCTGGGATGGGACCTAGAAATCAGTTCCCCCACACCTATCCCTGGGTGTTCCCCTGCCTGAGCCCCAAGAACTGACCCGTCTAGTGCTCTCTTCTGTTTTTAGTCAGCCATTAGGTATCTCAAGAACCCAAAATAAACAGCAGCAGGCTTAGCTGGGAGGACAAGGTTCACCTGGTCAGCAGTGGGCCTGCCTGGTGAGAATAGGCTAGGTTGGTATGCCATTGCTTTCTGGCTGTCCAGCCCAGCTTCCAGTTAGCAGACGTGATTTGCGAGTGGGACAATGGAAAGAAAGAGCAGTGTGTTTTAGTTTCTACCCATTTTTAAAATGAGATACTCAGACATCATTACAACTAATCAGTGCAAAATGGCACAGTGTTAACAGGTTATAAGTGTTCAGAGACACAACTTCAGTCTTCAAAGATACGCTATGCCCTCTGCACTAAATTCTTAGAAATTCTTACAAACTCTTCATCCAATTCAACACCACATGCCAGGTGGTGAGGAAGCAGAACAAACTGCAGCCTCTTAAGTTGTCTGAAGTACCATAAATATACCTCAAAGTTCACCCGTTCTAGAGTAGAGCAACCATCACTACAATCCAGTTGTAGAATACTTCCATCGCCCCGAAGCCTTCTGATTTGTCCATCAGAGCCCCAGTTAATACTGGGCCAAACTCTCAGCTCACTGGTCGGCACACCTGTTTCTGTTGCATAGAGAAGCCTGTTGAGAATCCCAAAGCAAAAGGTCTATCAAAGCACAAAGATCTGTACCCAAGTATACACAGTAGCTTTAGTCTAGCCCCAAACTGGAAGCAATCCAAATGCCCGTTAGCAGCTATGAATAGATAACCTGTACTATGTCCACACAATAGGGTACTACATTGTAATACAAAGGAACAGATAACTGATGGCCGCTGCAACGTGGCTGGCTCTCACAGACATTATGCTGTCTCACAGACAGACGTATGAACGTCCATGGAATTCTAGAACAGGCAAAGCTGTTCTCCAGCTCCCTTTGTTCATCACTGCATCACCGATGTGTACCTAGGAGCTCACTATGCTATTCTGTGTGTGTGTGTTTATGTGTAGTGTTTCATAATGAAAAGTATTTAAACGGTTTAAAAGATAAAAAAAAAAAAAAAAACACCATCTGGCTGAGCTCAGAAAGCAGACACAAAAGCTGAGTATTCTGGGAGGGTGGCTCCGCTAGACAGAAGCAGGAAGGGCGGTGTCCCCTTGATCGAGGGTTGTCTTTCCATTACCTCCCAGCCAGCCTGGGAACTTAAAGCTTCTCTGAAAGTCATGATTCCACCCTGATTTTTTTCCCAACTTCCAGGATTCTCTAGAGAGAATCATGAGACATAACAAAAGAAGGACATCACTGGATGTTACATCGGGTGGTGTGCTTCCTTTTTGTCTTCCAGACTTGAGTTGTTGATCATTTTAAAGGATTTTAACGCCCACAGGCAGTGCTGTTACAGACAGCAGTTGCTATCACAGAAGGGACCCCATCAGCCTCTCTCCTTTGACTTAGGCATGACCTTGGCTCTTGCGCCCCAGGACTCTAACTCTTCTGTGACTCTTCCTCTAATAGTGCTAGAAGCCAGCCTGGTTACTGAGACCTGGAACTTGCCCCAAAGGGCAAAAGCACTTGCTAGTTTGTTCTTAGCTTCAGGGTTTTCTTAATGACTTGGAAAGTGTAATTTAAAGAGACAAGGCAGTTGCTGATTCTTGGCTAACAGCAAATGGGAAACTGTAGACAGAAGAATCTATTTAGAATTCTAGGTGTTCTTTTCCTGGCCTAATTGCAGGCACAATTATCCTTTGGGGCTATAGATTCGTTTTCTTATATTTCCATTCTTCAGAAAGTGAGTTGACAGTTTTGGCTAAGATGGAAAGTAAAGAGAGGTGATTAACGACAGCAAATGTAAAATGAGGGCAAGCTTTTGAAATGTGTGTAGGGGAACTGAGCTTGGCACAAATGTCAGGACTTTTTTGGACACTGTAAATGAAAGGCATTAGAATTGAGGTTTTCACCCTTAAATCCAATTCTTTGGGGCTCAATGTGCATGCCAAGGTATTTCAGTTGTATAATGAACCTACGCATCAATCCTGCTGACCCTGCAACTGAGCTGACAAAGGCTGTGTAAGGAATGGCCACCACCTGTTGAAAACAGTTACCTCGGCCAACTTCACTAGCTGTTGAGAAGCAGCTTTGACCTTTGTGTTAGGGTGAAAGTGTTAGCAACCAACACTTCTCATCCAAGTCCTTTAGCCTGTTCCCCTTTTATTTGTTCCGGAAAGTATTTAGAAAAATTCGTATACAACTTAAAACCCGTGATAACGTTGAATGACAGGTTGGCCATCGCTATTTCGGAGTATAAAATTCCTACTCACTGCAAAGCCGTTTGAACTGCAAGGTTGGCAGTTCAAGCTCACCAGCTGCTCCTTGGAAACTCTATACAGGGTCACTATGG